CTGTATAATGTATTATTGCTGGGATTTGTTGTTCCTCTATAGCTGCTGGTGTATTATACATTGGTATTCTGTAGAGCTGCAACAATTATTAGATTAAAATCGATAAAAATCGCCGATGGTAAACGTCAGCGTTTTCCATCGTCGATTCGTCGGCTAAAATGTAAATTTCCCACTCACGCCCGCCTGTTCGCAGCTCCATACATGAGTTACGCTATGCACGCTGCGGACGCCATGCCCACCGCGCACATGGCCGCCGGACACACGCCCGCAGAGCACGCCGCCGCAGCGACTTACAAGGGTTCAGAAACAGGTAAGGGGGACCTGTTTTAATGTTTCCTGTTTAAAAAAAAAAAGCGGCACACTGTAGAACACCAGCAGCTATAGAGGAACAACAAATCCCAGCAATAATATATTAAACACCCGGTATAATGTATTATTGCTGGGATTTGTTGTTCCTCTATAGCTGGTGGTATTCTCCATCGCGCTGTATAATGTATTATTGCTGGGATTTGTAGTTCCTCTAACTGGTCAGTGGTAATCTGCATTGTGCAGTATAATCATTATACAGCGCCAATGGAGAATACCACCAGCTATGGAGGACTACAAATCCCAGCAATAGTACATTATAGTATAATGTTGTACTATTGCTGGCATTTGTTGTATTCCTATATAGCTGCTGGTATTCTGCATTTCGCCGTATAATCATTATACAGCGCACTGCAGAATGCCACCAGCTATAGAGGACTACAAATCCCAGCAATAATACATTATATACAGTGCAATGCAGAATAACCCCAGCTACAGAGGACTACAAATCACAGCAATAGTACATTATAGTATAGAGAGTATTATAGAGAGTCATCTCGGGAAATAGTCGTTGCCAATGGAGTCTCCAGCATTGGACCCGGTCGCCTGGTGGGATTTCTGCTTCTTCTGTCTGCGGGAGCCAGGAGTATTTGGGTGGTGCTGGGTCCCTGCGGGCCGAGAAGGTTCAGGTGCGTTCGGCAGCATAGGGGACCGAGAGTGGGTCAGCGGAGAATATAGGTCTGAATACCAGTCAGGGATGATGACGTCCGGCAGGTCCTGTCTGGCACAGAATTCTCCAATATCTTCTGGCAGGCGCAGGGTCGCCGTTGTTCCCCTGTGGCTGGCCGTCAGGCTGAAGGGAAAGCGCCATCTATAGATGATGCCACGGTCTCGAAGGCAATCAAGCAGGGGGCGAAGTGCGCAGCGTTGTTGCAGGGTAATGGCGGACAGGTCCTGGAACAATTTCACCTCCCTACCGTCCAGGAAGACAGTTCCTCTTTTGTCGGGCTTTCAGCAGGATTTCCTCTTTCAGGGGAAAGCTTTGGAGACAGCAAATTATATCTCTGGGTGTCTCGTCTTGTCCTGTGCGGGGTCTCAGAGCCCTGTGTGCTCTCACCAACTCTATAGGTGATTCAGCGGGTCTGTCCAGGACATCATTAAAGATGGTCATGAGGACGGTGGGGATGGCCTCTGGCATGTAGGTTTCTAGCACTCCACGGACTCTGTTAGATCGTCTCCCCCTATTGTCCAGATCTTCTAGGTGGCGTCTCATCTCAATCAGACTGCGCACAGTGCAATTTTGTTGGGAGTGGATGGCCTTGATTTCCTCCCCTTGGCTAGCTTCGTTTGGGTCTCAGGTAGCCGGAGCGCTGTTAGAAAGCGGCCATTCTCCTCTCGGCGCAAGCCACGCCCCCAGCAAAATTAATTTTCTGCTTTTTATTAGGAATGCATCAATACCAGTTTTTCAGTATAAAAGTACAAGTAACCGATATTTTTTTTATCGGTACTCACCGATACCGTTGCAGTGTGCCCCAATTATCAGGAAGCCAGGCGGTGGATCATGACCCGCTGCTTCCTGATTGTCTGTGAAGCCGGTGCTCTATCAAACGAACACCGGCTTCACTTCCCGAGGCTGCCTGACTTTTTGACCAATCAGGAAGCCGGGCACCGGGTCATGAGGTGCCGGCCTGCTTCCTGATTGGCTAGGAAGCTGGCTTCACTTGTTGTTAAGCAGCCTGGCTTCCTGACCAATCAGGAAGTCGGAAGGCTGGTCATAACCTGCCACCCGGCTTCCTGATTGGAAAGGAAGCCGGCTCCATGCTCCCTCGGCACTGCCGGTTAGAGGGAGATCTCCCTCTGACCGGAAGATCCGGTAAATCGGACTCGCCCAAATACTCAGTATCGGCACCAATACCGATACTAGAATCAGTGCATTCCTACTTTTTAGACATTTGAAAATACCGGGACAGCTGACAACTATGAAGAAAAGAAGGCAGGGTCAGGTCTTTGGGGAATAAGAGAAATGAAGTGTGATTTGTACAGGCGATTTCTGTCTGTAGGAATGATGCAAAATTCTAGAAGACACAGATCTGAACTTGCACAATAGCATTCCAAAAAAGGACTGAAGTTGCTCTGAAAAGAAGTGAAATAAAAGCATTGGACCTGCAAGATTTATCCTATTGGTGTGGCTGGCCAACTAGGAGGTGAGTCAGTATACGTCAGTGGTTCTCAACCTGTGTAACCTCAGGACCCACATTTGTCCTTGGTCTTTAAGTCGCAACCCAACAATAATTTCATTTCCGAAACAAGAAGCCTAAACCCACTGTAAAAGGGGTTGCGACCCACTTTTGGGTTGCAACACATTGGTTGAGAACCAGGGGTATAGATGAACTGGCTACCAGAAGGGCAGCTTCTACAGTCCAAAGGATCTCCACTGTCTCCGAGGGTGTCAAATGGCAGGATTGTGGATTGAAGTGCCACACTCCATTTGCTATGGGAAGTACATTGGCTTAGTGGTTAGCACTTCTGCCTTGCAGCACTGTGGGTCCCTGGTTCGAATCCTGGTCAGGACACTATCTGCAAGGATGTGCTTGTGTGGGTTTCCTCCCACACGCCGAAGACATGCTGGAAGGTTGATTAGCTCCTATCTAAATTGGCCCTGTGTGTGCGCGCAATAGGGACCTTAGATTGTAAGCTCCTTGTAAGGGACTGATGTGAATGTGCAGTATATAAAGTGTAAATTGTTGTCGCTATATAAACTACTTGTAATAAATAATAGTCCAGGCACATCTTTATTTGATGTAGGGTTAAGGGGAAAGTATAGAAATGGCCAACGTGTTCCGTTGGTTCATACAAATACCCTCTTATTGGGGTTGACTAAGGGAGTATATGTATCAGGATGGCTTGAAATACAGTTTTGTCCAGTGTGTGAGAATGCATAGAACACTTCGGCAGCTGATTTGGTAGCCTATTCAGCTGCTGAAGAGTTCTGTGTATTTTCACACACCTCAATTTACAATTCTGCTATTTGCTCTGAAGGCAAAGGACCTTCTTATTCCTTATTAAATCCTGAACAAAACAAATTACCTGAACTGTTGCTGGCACCATATAGCAGGCAGAGTTGAATTCTTCAGCAACTCCCAAATCTCAGGCCGATCTGTTGTGCAAATATCTACCCAGCTTCTTGGGTCTTCATGCATAAAAGTAAAGAAAAAAAAAATCAGATTGCATTTAAGTTTTTAGGTTTGTGATGATCAGAAGTTTTTACAAATAAATGTTAAAGCTTAACTCTAGGCAAACAGCTATAAACACAGATAACATAAAAAAGGAGCTGTTTTATGTGCCAAAGAATATGTATTTCTGTCCATCTAGCTTTGACATTACACAGCCCTGCCACACAGGATTTCAGACCTGATTTGTTTTGGTTTCAGTTCAGTAACACTTACACATCTTGCCCCTCTCCCAGCCAGTGACCAGGCTGTCACTGTGCTCTCTCCTACTTTCACCATGCCCCTTGCTCTGTAACACAATTGATTGGCTCCTTCAGCTGCTTCTCTAAGCTCTGCTTTACAGACTGTACAGTAAACTGCAAGAGGCTGATACCAGGTTAAATTAAAGGTACCTACACTGCTTGTATTGGAAAAAATACACTTAAATGATGTTTTTCTAAATACAAAACTATAATAATTTTGTACCTGTATTATTTGCCTGGAGATCTGTCACTGCTCCAAGCCTGTGTGAAAATCCCAGACCTCTGGAATTCCAGATGCTGATCAATGAGAGCCCAACCATGGTCTATGATCTCTATGAACGTTTCACACATTACGGGCTTGGTCACAGAGATCTGTGTGATTAGGCCTATATTGGGTGAAACATTACAGAGTGGCATTCCGTGGTGGGGCTGCAGTGTGCTATATCCAAGTTTAATACAACTGGATGTGATGTCATCAGTGTGCGACTTCCTGCTGAGCGCTGCTTTAATTAGAACAAAGTTTCGTAGTACAATGCACCTAAAGCACTGATTTGCATTCACAACAAAAGTTGTCACCTGACTTTGTTTGCTGACCTTAGCAGTAGTCATACCACAATGCAGCGTTGAGGTGGCAGACGGTGCATTGTCTGCATGTTCATGCGGCACAACTCAACGCACTGTGGTGCATAGACTTGAAGTGTAATTTTGTAACACTTCAATAAAGTTAATTTTTAAAAAACAGGTAAACAGTGCCTTGTGTTGTAACACTGCAAAACTGATACCAGCCTGCAGCCTGGTATGAAGGAGCTCTAAAATTGTAACTTGTTGCCAAAGAGCAGTATTCAAAGGCGTTGTTTGTTTGTTTTTTTTATAGAAAAAAACCTTGTCTTATTGTTCACTAATGGCAATAGAGCAAAAAAAAAGACAGAATACAATAAGACAGGCTGCATTGTATCACACCTCCCTCTACTCAACCTGTACACACTGCCATCTGCTACTCTCACTTACATTCCTCTGTATTCGCTCAATCAACCGTCAACAACATATCCCAGCTCTGTGATTGGCTGAACCCAGCCGTGACCCCTCTGCTGTGCCCTCATCCTAAATCATATCTACACAAGTGCAGCAACAACTAGTTTCATGATGGTTCTAGAATACCCGGAAGATAGAAATAATGCCCAGCATAAAACTGAACACAAGTATGTGTCATTGTATCGTCTACATTTCAATACAGTACTTCAATACATCCCGACGAAGCACAAGAACATTCTCGGAGTCTAAAGCAGCACAGGAGAGAGCTCTGAGTGCATACGTGTTGACTTAAGAGCGTCATCGGCAAGCGGTGTGGATTACGGAAAATTGTTTTCATACTTACCGTAATTTTCCTTTCCTGGCCTATCCTCATGTCAGCATACCTATGGGTCAGCTCCGTTTCTGATCCCGCCCAGGACAACCCTTTCCTAGCCAATAAAAATAAGCTTGAGCTGGTCCCCCTTTCGTGTTCCCTTCTGGCTCGTGAAAGGACACTCTAAGGAGGGCAAAAAACTATGCTGACATGAGGATAGGCCCGGAAAGGAGAATTACGGTAAGTATGAGATAACAATTTTCCGGATTCCTGGCCTCCTCATGTCAGCATACCTATGGGACATAACTAGCTACCATGGGATGGGATAAAACCTTAGAAGAAACCAAAATTTAAAAGGCAAACCATAATAATCATAGACAATCTGTGTAATCTGCTCATAATAAATCATTCTAATAATTATGAAGACCAGCCGAGAGAACTGCTGCCCCAAAAGCCCCAGCTGATGAAGAAGAAACATCCAAATCGATAATGACGAATGAAAGTGTTTACAAACTTCCAGCTTGCTGCCCTGCACACCGCTTCTGGAGAAACTTTTGAGTATGCCACCCAAGATGCCGCCATCCCCCTTGTTGAATGTGCCGCATGTCCCTCAGGTTTGATTATCCAAGAAGAGATTATTCTTGGCCCTGCTGCTTTACCTTTCCTTGGGCCTACAGGATAAACAAAAAGCACCTCCTCCTTTCTGAACTCCGTTGTTCTTTTTAGATAGACTGACAAGATATTAACCAGATCCAATCTGTCCCATCGAAGAGAGTCTGCTGGGAGTTCCTGAGAAGACAGAGCTGGTAGAACCGTGTCTATGTTAAGATGAAACTCAGAAGTTACTTTCGGGAGGAACTTTGGAATAGGTCGCAGAACCACCTTATCTTCATAGAACGTACAAAACGGCTCCTTTGAAGAAAAAGCAGCAATCTCGGATACCCTTCTGGCCGAAACAATCTCTGTACGGAACACCACCTTCAGTGTCAAATGCCATATCGAACAAGAATCTGAAGGAAATGGGAATCCATTATCTTCTCTAAGACTAGCGGCAAGTCCTATTTTGGTACCATACTCCTGAGGAGGCCGAATCTTAATCTTCATGAACTAAGCTATTAACGAAACGATAGTCCACTGTACACACGTTAAGGCTGAAATATGCATCTTCAGGGTACGGCAAGCAAGACCCAAATCAAGCCCTTCCTGCAACGATTCTAAAACGTCCGCCGTTCCTGGCTTCATGGGATCAAACCCCCTCTGCTTTCTGAGATCAAGGAACTTTCTCCATACTCCGAAGTAGGCTGACTTAGTGGAAGGTTTGTGAGATTTTAACAAAGTCTCAATCACCGCCGCAGGCCAATCTTGGACCTCTAACTTCCACCGTTGAAGCGCCAGGCCCTCAAATTTAGCCTTTTCAGGTTTGGATGGAAAACTTCCCTGCGTTAGCAGATCCCTGGACAACGGCAGCGTAATTGGAGGTTCTCTCGAAAGACGTTGCAGGAGTACCAGGGCCTTCTTGGCCAACACAGCAGGATGGCAATAGCATGGAACTTCTCCCGCCAGATCTTCTGCAACACCCGAGAGGACCACAGGGGGAAACACATAGGCCAGAGAGAAGCTCCACGGATACAGAGGGGCATGCTGCCCTATCGTCTGAGGACAATGGAACCAGGAGAAAAAAAATTGAAACTGAGCATTCGATGGAGTCGCCATGAGGTCTACTTCTGGGGTTCCCCAAAGTCCAAAAATCTGCGGAAGATTTTGTTGTTCAGCTTCCACTCCCCATGACTTGGAAAATGATGACTCAAGGAGTCTGTTCAGGTGCGTTCGGCAGCATAGGGGACCGAGAGTGGGTCAGCGGAGAATATAGGTCTGAATACCAGTCAGGGATGATGACGTCCGGCAGGTCCTGTCTGGCACAGAATTCTCCAATATCTTCTGGCAGGCGCAGGGTCGCCGTTGTTCCCCTGTGGCTGGCCGTCAGGCTGAAGGGAAAGCGCCATCTATAGATGATGCCACGGTCTCGAAGGCAATCAAGCAGGGGGCGAAGTGCGCAGCGTTGTTGCAGGGTAATGGCGGACAGGTCCTGGAACAATTTCACCTCCCTACCGTCCAGGAAGACAGTTCCTCTTTTGTCGGGCTTTCAGCAGGATTTCCTCTTTCAGGGGAAAGCTTTGGAGACAGCAAATTATATCTCTGGGTGTCTCGTCTTGTCCTGTGCGGGGTCTCAGAGCCCTGTGTGCTCTCACCAACTCTATAGGTGATTCAGCGGGTCTGTCCAGGACATCATTAAAGATGGTCATGAGGACGGTGGGGATGGCCTCTGGCATGTAGGTTTCTAGCACTCCACGGACTCTGTTAGATCGTCTCCCCCTATTGTCCAGATCTTCTAGGTGGCGTCTCATCTCAATCAGACTGCGCACAGTGCAATTTTGTTGGGAGTGGATGGCCTTGATTTCCTCCCCTTGGCTAGCTTCGTTTGGGTCTCAGGTAGCCGGAGCGCTGTTAGAAAGCGGCCATTCTCCTCTCGGCGCAAGCCACGCCCCCAGCAAAATTAATTTTCTGCTTTTTATTAGGAATGCATCAATACCAGTTTTTCAGTATAAAAGTACAAGTAACCGATATTTTTTTTATCGGTACTCACCGATACCGTTGCAGTGTGCCCCAATTATCAGGAAGCCAGGCGGTGGATCATGACCCGCTGCTTCCTGATTGTCTGTGAAGCCGGTGCTCTATCAAACGAACACCGGCTTCACTTCCCGAGGCTGCCTGACTTTTTGACCAATCAGGAAGCCGGGCACCGGGTCATGAGGTGCCGGCCTGCTTCCTGATTGGCTAGGAAGCTGGCTTCACTTGTTGTTAAGCAGCCTGGCTTCCTGACCAATCAGGAAGTCGGAAGGCTGGTCATAACCTGCCACCCGGCTTCCTGATTGGAAAGGAAGCCGGCTCCATGCTCCCTCGGCACTGCCGGTTAGAGGGAGATCTCCCTCTGACCGGAAGATCCGGTAAATCGGACTCGCCCAAATACTCAGTATCGGCACCAATACCGATACTAGAATCAGTGCATTCCTACTTTTTAGACATTTGAAAATACCGGGACAGCTGACAACTATGAAGAAAAGAAGGCAGGGTCAGGTCTTTGGGGAATAAGAGAAATGAAGTGTGATTTGTACAGGCGATTTCTGTCTGTAGGAATGATGCAAAATTCTAGAAGACACAGATCTGAACTTGCACAATAGCATTCCAAAAAAGGACTGAAGTTGCTCTGAAAAGAAGTGAAATAAAAGCATTGGACCTGCAAGATTTATCCTATTGGTGTGGCTGGCCAACTAGGAGGTGAGTCAGTATACGTCAGTGGTTCTCAACCTGTGTAACCTCAGGACCCACATTTGTCCTTGGTCTTTAAGTCGCAACCCAACAATAATTTCATTTCCGAAACAAGAAGCCTAAACCCACTGTAAAAGGGGTTGCGACCCACTTTTGGGTTGCAACACATTGGTTGAGAACCAGGGGTATAGATGAACTGGCTACCAGAAGGGCAGCTTCTACAGTCCAAAGGATCTCCACTGTCTCCGAGGGTGTCAAATGGCAGGATTGTGGATTGAAGTGCCACACTCCATTTGCTATGGGAAGTACATTGGCTTAGTGGTTAGCACTTCTGCCTTGCAGCACTGTGGGTCCCTGGTTCGAATCCTGGTCAGGACACTATCTGCAAGGATGTGCTTGTGTGGGTTTCCTCCCACACGCCGAAGACATGCTGGAAGGTTGATTAGCTCCTATCTAAATTGGCCCTGTGTGTGCGCGCAATAGGGACCTTAGATTGTAAGCTCCTTGTAAGGGACTGATGTGAATGTGCAGTATATAAAGTGTAAATTGTTGTCGCTATATAAACTACTTGTAATAAATAATAGTCCAGGCACATCTTTATTTGATGTAGGGTTAAGGGGAAAGTATAGAAATGGCCAACGTGTTCCGTTGGTTCATACAAATACCCTCTTATTGGGGTTGACTAAGGGAGTATATGTATCAGGATGGCTTGAAATACAGTTTTGTCCAGTGTGTGAGAATGCATAGAACACTTCGGCAGCTGATTTGGTAGCCTATTCAGCTGCTGAAGAGTTCTGTGTATTTTCACACACCTCAATTTACAATTCTGCTATTTGCTCTGAAGGCAAAGGACCTTCTTATTCCTTATTAAATCCTGAACAAAACAAATTACCTGAACTGTTGCTGGCACCATATAGCAGGCAGAGTTGAATTCTTCAGCAACTCCCAAATCTCAGGCCGATCTGTTGTGCAAATATCTACCCAGCTTCTTGGGTCTTCATGCATAAAAGTAAAGAAAAAAAAAATCAGATTGCATTTAAGTTTTTAGGTTTGTGATGATCAGAAGTTTTTACAAATAAATGTTAAAGCTTAACTCTAGGCAAACAGCTATAAACACAGATAACATAAAAAAGGAGCTGTTTTATGTGCCAAAGAATATGTATTTCTGTCCATCTAGCTTTGACATTACACAGCCCTGCCACACAGGATTTCAGACCTGATTTGTTTTGGTTTCAGTTCAGTAACACTTACACATCTTGCCCCTCTCCCAGCCAGTGACCAGGCTGTCACTGTGCTCTCTCCTACTTTCACCATGCCCCTTGCTCTGTAACACAATTGATTGGCTCCTTCAGCTGCTTCTCTAAGCTCTGCTTTACAGACTGTACAGTAAACTGCAAGAGGCTGATACCAGGTTAAATTAAAGGTACCTACACTGCTTGTATTGGAAAAAATACACTTAAATGATGTTTTTCTAAATACAAAACTATAATAATTTTGTACCTGTATTATTTGCCTGGAGATCTGTCACTGCTCCAAGCCTGTGTGAAAATCCCAGACCTCTGGAATTCCAGATGCTGATCAATGAGAGCCCAACCATGGTCTATGATCTCTATGAACGTTTCACAC